CAGAGTCACGCTGGGGCTAAGGGCTTCAACACATGACTTGTTGAGAGGGACAGACGTCCAGTCCACAGCTGCCCTCAAACCCGCCGGGACCTCCCTCTGTGAGTCCAGTCCACTCTCCGTCCTTACAAGAGGCCTTCATCTCCAATGTCCTATTTCCTTCTAATTTCATAATTTCCCTTTGCGGCAGCTCTGCTCGGGTCTTCTTTATTGTTCTCTCTTTCCGCTGAAACCCCCATGTCTTCGCGCATGCTGTCCACCCTTAGCACTACACCCTATCACATGCTCCCCGGGATTAAAGACTGTCTTCCCACACTGCTGCAGGCCATGCCTGGGTCTGCTTCTATCGACTGTCGCCTCCCTGGACGATGGGCCACATCAGCTTGCTTTTTTGGGGTGTCTGTATTAAAGTTCTCCAAAGAAATAGAGCCAATAAAAGACACACACACATAAAGGAATTAATAGAATTAATATAAAGATATTTATCACAAGGAATTAACTCGCATGAATACAGAGGCTGACACATCCCAAGGTCTGCAAGGTGAACTGGCAGCCAGGGCCCCGGGACAAGTGATGGGGTAAGTTCCAGGCAGGAGGCAGGAGGAAGGTGGGACAGATTCGTGACTGAATGCCAGGCATTGTGTGACAGGTCAGCGGCCATGTGCCCAGGACGGCCTGCCCCTTCCGGTGCTGGCTGTTGGTTCTGGGCTCGGCTGTGTGGCCTGCGGGCAGAAGGATCATACCTTCCTCTAGGTGGAGTGGGGCAGGGTGGCATCTGAGTGGGTCGGGGTCTGCTGCAGCAGGCCAGGTGGCCCTGTGCTGGCCGGTGGCCCTCTGTTCTCTTTCATCTCCCCGAATGGTAGAGGGCCACCAGCTGGCAATCGACACACCCCATGTTTCCCTTGGTGCCCCCCTGCCCCCAGAGCACCACGAGTATCTGGGACCTGAGCCTCTGCGTGGACTTGGCTCTCAGTCGAATCCCAGGTGCTACCTGGTGTGAGGCCCGCCTGGCTGGTTTCTGCCAGGCCTCCTGCTCCAGTCTCAAGCTCTGGTAGCCTCAGGCCGGGGCCCCACTCAAGGCTCCCCGCAGCAGATGCACGGTCACTCCTGGGATCTTACTGGGAAGCCCCTGTCCTGGAGGGTCTCTCAGGGCCCGGGTCTTCCCTCAGACTCTGGCAGGCCCTGAGCACTGGTGCCTCAGGGAGCTCCTTGGTCCCCTGGACCCCCCACCGTCTTCCTTATGAGTACTTAGTGACGGCTCTTGGAAGAGAGCTGAGCTATGTGTGTCTGGAGCCCCCCGGGGACTGACAGGTTGTCGCCAAAGGCAGTGCCAGTGCATGTGGCCCAGGGGTTCTCAGAGAGGACTTGCATTTGCTTTAACACTCTGCTGTCCCTGTCTCGAAATCCTTGATAAATTTTTTTAATTGTATTTATTAAAAAAAATTTTTTTTTGTAATGTTTATTTACTTTTGAGAGAGACAGTGTGAGCGATGGAAGGACAGAGACAGAGAGGGAGACACAGAATCTGAAGCAGCTCCAGGCTCCGAGCTGTCAGCACAGAACCTGACACGGGGCTGGAACTCCTGAACTGGGAGATTATGACCCGAGCTGAAGTCTCTTAACCTACTGAGCCACCCAGACGCCCCACCATGGTTTTTTTGT